ACTTTTATTTCTAGAGATTCCCAATGTATTTTTGAGTTAAGTTTTTAATTACATTAATTTCATTTAAAAAAATGTACTAACTTTGAGTTTTATTATTTTTCGTCTATATTTATGTGCCATTAAAAATCGTTTGTTTTTTTTTTATAATAAAGGAAACTAGTAATAGTCCCCGAAAATCGGCATGCTCCGTGGTCTAAAAAATCTGCATATTTCTTTATTCTAAAAACCACATGCATTGGTATTTAACTTATACATTGCTGGCCATGCGTAAAGCAATCCTCTTGTTAGGGGCTGACCTTACATATTTATTGTTATTGCGAACGCTGCAATAATTTTGAATTGGCGGCGTTTAAATACATAGGGAAATATTTGGGTCGCTGGGCTGTAAATTTATATGGGGTAGAAAAATTCATTTACCTTGTGAATCACGTGTCCATTAACTAGTCCTTTATATGTACATATTTGTATTGCGGCATCCAAACAATTATATTGTAGTTTAACTATTAGGCGAGACCATTAACTAACCCGTCATATGTATATACATATTTAGGTTGTAGGCTAACATCACAACTGCTCCGACTTTTAGTATCAAGTCATGAGTCCTACTCCTAAATTCTCCTGTGGATATTCAGAAACGACAGTAGATATCGACGCTATAGTAAACATTTACTTTTACGTACAACATATTAACCATATCTTTATTAACTATTGTACAGTGCTTATTTTTTGAACCCGAAGTTAATCGATCCTTCAAGTGGTTTTGATTAATTACTCAGAATCGGTAGTAAACTACAAATTTTCAGTACAAAATCGTATCTTATTTTTTTCTCTGAAACGCATATACACACATATATGTGACCTGGTCTACGGAAAGGGGGCTTAGGTGTCAAAAAATCAATTTTCACTTTTTGGTTGATTCGGATGGAAGATGAGATGCTTTTTCACGTGGTGAAAAGCAGAAAATCCTTACTTGCTTAGAAGTGTACTAAAAATGTAGAGAAAGAAGAGTAAAAATACGACAAAATATAATTACTTTTTTAAATGTTCCACACTAGCAACTTACACGATGAACTATAATAATATTCCGACCAACAACAACACTTACTGGACCAACAACAACACTTACTGGACGTCCGGCGCGGAGAACAATTAACGAGATAATGAGAAACTGACGAAACGAGTTGCTTACTTTTAACAGCTTTTTCACAGAAAACTAGTTTTCGCACGTAAGCTCCCTTTTCGTAGACCAGGTCACATATGGAGAGTTTAAAATACTTTACCGTTCTCTCAGTTCGTTTGCCAGGACTTCTTTTTCAAGTTTTTCAGCTTTTTAAAAATATACAAAATGGAAAATAAATTTACACTGTACAGGGACAAAAGCAACATTTTTGTTTTGCAGATCCACCGCTGTATCGCTACCTAATTCGCACGAACGTAGCAATGCATTGCTCGATATGAAACACTAGTAATTTTTAGCCAAAAAAAAACCGACTTCAACTCCCATATAAAAAAAAAATATATATATATATCTCATGATCCGCTGATCGGATCTTAACCAGATTAGTATGGGACCACCTCTGAGACACTACCTTTCCGATGCAAAAAGAATTATCGAAATCGGTTGACGTGGTCCAAAGTTATGCGGTAACATAAATAAAAAAAAAAAAAAAAAATATTCCGACGAACTGATAACCTCCTCCTTTTTTGGAAGTCGGTTAAAAACCAGGGACGAAAGCGAATAAATGCAACTACATATTTTTCATTCTCTTATGTCCCGCTGAGACGCTGCCTATCGAAATGAACGTAAATATGCTTTGCTCAATGTAAAAATTGTAAAAGCTTTCGATGCGAATATTTAGAAAGTGGTTCAATGAATCTTAAATTTGAAAATTTTGTGCAAAGTTTCAGATCGAGCACTTTAATTTGATGTATAATAGTAGATCGCTGGGAATAAGCGCCTTGTTTTAGAATAATATTTATGTAAGTACATAAATAAAAATGAGCGAAAAAAAAATCTTTATTTCATTACATGTGGTCATTGTAGTTTAGCTATAAAATCCTTGTTATAAAATATAACAGAAGTTTTTTTTTACTCTGTACTTACAATATTGCAGTCAATAAAAATCACGACAAATATTTTTCATTATTTCTGCTGCTTGAAAAAGTTCCTACTTGACCGTTGCTGTAAAGTTTCTTACTAAACGAGCATATATGTATTTCTTGAGAGCTAATTTAAGAAATTTTGATAGAAAAACATTTCTTTTTAATTTCTTGAACGTCATTTTATTTTTCGTTTTTGTTAATGGCTTTATTCTTAAAAAATAAAGTAGGTTTAAAGCATGATAAAAACATTACAAGGTAAATTCATTCTCTCATTTCGTCGGCCATGATTTTTTTCTGACGTTTGCCAACATTTTAAAATCATATAAAATTGAAAATAAAAAAATTAAATTGTTCACAATTTTTGTTGTTTGAGATTGAAAATGAGAATGTGTGTGTGAGTTTGAGTTTTGATTTTAAAATTATATTGTTGGCAAACGTCAGACTGCCTCTCAATGGTTTTACCTTGTTATGTTTTTATCATGGTTTAAAGCATGGTATAAAAAAGAAGGTAGTTTCAATTAATGATATTAGCAGCCATGTTAGTCATTTGACTTTTGCTGGGATTTTGCCATTTTCACCAAAATCTAGCTACCAGACAGAAAATTATAATATTGTTGGTTCAATTTTTATTTTTTTTTTATAAAAATATAGCCCATTATCTAATAAAAACCATATAAGTCCAAATTTCAAATTTGTAGAAAAGCAGGAAAATTTTTACAACAACAACAAAATTTTTATTGGGAATTTCTAAGTATGCAGATTTATAGCCTATTAAATTCCAGATTAAGGAACTGCAAATTTTAATTGGTTGAGAATTCGCGTTGATGATTTATATTTTTTTTTGCTGACGGTTTCACCCATAGTCAGCCTCATTGCGTAAGTCGTAAATTAGGCTCAATTGTACGACTCGACAATATTGGCATTGTATACAGCCGTGCTGAAATAAGTAAACGACGAAAATCGTCGTAAACTATACAGTGCTGCCAAGTTTCCCACTTTAATACACTAGTCGAGTGGAAATTTTTGGCAATGGCGTGAAACTTAAGATACGATTCGACTCTCGAAAAACGACTTGCATTCGACACGGCTCTCGCAATGAGGGCGAATAATAACACCATCCCCCAAAAAAAAGTTATCAAAAATCATCGTACATTCTTAGCCAAATTAGAGTTTGACTTTCTTAGCTATAATTTAATTGGATATAAAACTGCAAACTAGAATTATCTCAAAATTCTTATTAAAAAGTTTGTAGTAAAATTTTATCAAATCAATTATATAAATAGGCAATAGTGTTTCCTTTACACGCCTTTTACGGCTAAACTATACTTCTAAGGTATAAACAATTATATATCATTAGAAAGGTATTTTGATGTTGATGTGCAGGCAATTTTTAAAATTTCAAATTAGTTTAAAATAGAGCGAAAGTAACACCAATACCAATGCCATACATGTACATGGTTGGGGCGGAAATGCCCCCTAAATGTATGCTTTAATATTGATACTGAATTACAGAAACGTGCTATGCAGCAGTTTAGGAATAAGATGTATGTATGCATGTACATGAACAGATTAGACTCAAACAGGGAAGAAGGTAGAGTTGAGTATGGAGAAGAAGAAAGGGATAAATACACAAATTAAAATAAAACTAAAGAGACCTAAATATAAAGACAAAGAGGAAGGAAAATTTAAATACCTAACCTAATAACAATGGTAGGGGTGAATATGTAAATGAAGAAAATAATGGACATATTTAGATCAGGATAAAAGAAAAGGTAAAGATGAAGAAGAAGGTGAAGCCCACGACGAGGAATAAGATGAAGATGAAGATTAAGATTAAGATTAAGATTAAGATTAAGATTAAGATGAAGATGAAGGTGAAGATGAAGATGAAGACGAAGATGAAGATAAAGATGATGAATATGAAGATGATTATGAAGATGAGGATGAAGATGAAGATGATGAAGATGAAGATGAAGATGAAGATGAAGATGAAGATGAAAATGAAGATGAAGATCAAGATGGAGATGAAGATGAAGATGAAGATGAATCTGTTTTGCTTTGTTTACATATTCGAGTATGCATACACATATACGTAAATATATACCCGGCAAACAAATGCTACCGAAATCCGATAATTTGACTCAAGCGTGCTCATAAGAAGCATAGTTTCTATCGCTATCACCTGTAATTGATGCGCCTTGTCAACGTCGTTAGATTTATCGCGATTCGCCTTGATCGCGATAAGCTGTCGTGAGTGATCGCGATAAGCTGTCGT